TTCGATACACAAGAGCATGTTCTACGTAGGGACAATTTCTAAAATGAGGTAAGTTATTGACAAACATGTTGATGAAACAAGAATATCAGCAGTCTCGTTTAAAGTCATCATTTTTTAAAGTTCTATGGTCGATTCAATGACCTTGTCAACAAATACAATTTTCCATTGAGTCTAATGCTGACTGACGGTGTTTGCTCTGCTCCTATTTTGTATTGTTTAATGGACTTTGAGCTTGAAAACTGTTCGCTATCTCCACATATTTCATGTACACACATCTGGTATTAAATTTGCTTCAGTTTTGATTAAAATTCACCCGTTTAAAATTTAGAGACCCAGAACTGCAAGATTGTACTTTAGCAGCCCCAGACGACACACCTCAAAAATCCTGTGTGAGCATTTTATCTACATGTACTTCTGTACCAGGTTAGTACTTGACGTTTTTAAACATCAATAAGTTTTGAAAGTTTATATAAATTATATCATAACTAATAAATTTTCTTTCCTTGAAAGATTCAACTTCTTTTCTCTTAATTTAATTTCTATCAAAACTATCCATTATTTAAAGGTGTATGTTAGAGAACTACTGGATCAAGACCAGGCGTGAAAATATATAGATGAGCAGTATTTGATCAGTGATTAGATACAAAGATTTAACCGAGACCAGATTTGAAAAGAAAAGAGGAACACGACTGGATCAGGGATTAGATAAAAAATTATTCCAGGCTATGCGTGCAAATATGGACATATTTGATCAGTGATTAGAAACAAAATTTTATCCTAGACTAGACGTGAAAAGGTATGAATGAGCACTATTGGATCAGAGATTAGATACAAAATTTTATCCTAGACCACAGGCGTGAAAAGATATGCATGAGCAGTACTAGATTGGTGATACAAAATGTCATCTTACAAAAGGCGTAATGTAATACATATTTATGACATTACATCCTGTGCGTTTTCAATCCGTATCCCGTCTTTTATCAACATTTTGCTTGATTTTTTGGCGTTTAGACTTTAAAAGTTATTTTTTTTTAAATATTGGTTGTTCCTTCATCTATTTATCTGGCTTTGTTGTCAGCCTTTATTTTGCGTAAATTTGTGATTCATAATTTTTCAAACGTTTATTTTCTGTATTCTTTTCTTTATTTTAGTTCAATTAAGTTGCATAATTTAACATATTCCTCGCATTTTTAAACTTTATTTTAAACATTTAAAGCATACATATACGTAAAATTTAGAATTAAACATACAGCAGCTGAAAGGATTGAATATTTTAAGAATAGCTAGGGCTGTGCAGAAAAATTTCGGACAATATCAATGATCAATACATTATAATATGTAAAAAAAAATATTTACTTTGTTGGTGTGTTTTGTTTCATAATTAATCAAAGAAACTTATAATGCATTATTCTAAAATTAACATGTTTTGTTTTCCAAGGAGCACATTTACAACATTGCAACTTTAAAAACATGACGTAATGAATTTCTCCAAAATGCTCTACCTTGACATTTCACTCAAGTCTAGCTGGCTGGCGTCACACACACTTTTTCTTTTAAAAAAACTGTATTTACCACTTGGCATTAGGTTGACTAATAACTGTTGTAGTGGCATTCATGTAGTAAGTTCCAGTTTTTGGTTACAAAATGAAGCAACGATTCTAATTATGAACGTATAAATTGTCTTTGTTTTGTGTCGTTTTACAGAGTTATGACTGCCCACATCTGTACATATTAATCAATTGAATCAAGTAAAGTAGTTTCATTATATATTGAAAGTTTCATGTTCAAACTATTCAAATTTATTAATTCTTGAAATGTGTCTACAAAATGCACAATTTTCAGCTATGCAAGTACAGTTATTGGAAATATCAAATTTTTCCGAATTTACCTTGGCATTTTAATGTTTACAGTAGTTATCAAAATGATATCTAGATTGTAAACAAGCTAAACACTTGACTTTCATTTTCTGCCACATAATGTCCGACATGGATAGGGACTTCTATTCTGCAATCTACATATTGAGTTTAACACGTATTGTGGAGATATATAATAAAACTGTTTACATTGTATATATAATGATAGTGGAGATCCTTTAGTTTAGAAGCATTTGTAGTCAAAATAAATCTAAACGGGAATACACGCTGGTATTCTAATATTAATCAAAATTTGTATAGATATTTTAGATAATTTACTGTAAATGAGTTCGTTATTTCATACATACAGTGTATATATTATTAATGTTTTCATTAAAAAAAAAATATTTCTACAGCAACTGAATTATAAAGTAAAACAATACCAAAACCAAAATTCGAAAAAATCAAATCATCAGAACATGATTCGAACACTTTTCTCAACAAACGTTCCGTTTAAAGAGTTCCTCGATAACCTCTACTCCACGCAGTCACATATGGCCATTTATTTAGCATACAGTTCTCCATATTTAGCACGTGTATTTTGGACTTATAATTTCTACGACCACGGTGAAATTTTAAGTAAGTATAAACTTATTTTTTCTGTTGAGTGGATCTTTGTACCAGATTTTTGCAAGTGTAAAAAGAAACATCTCAAATTCTTTCCATTGTCTTCATTATTCGTTTAAAAAAAAAAGCAGAAAGAAAGAAATGGTACGATGACCCACTTTATTCAAGAAATGTAGTTATAGCATCCAATTTTGCGTCAGTTTTTGTGAAAATTGGACGTGTTGCCATTTTGTCGTGTTTAACAGAATAGAATTTGCAATAAAATTTGTAATAACATTTTTGTTTGCAAATGAAAAAAAAGCAATACATCTGTACATAAATTAAACAAAAAGTAAAATTTGTGAAAAATGAATTTCTTGATTTTTTATCGACCATAATGTGCACATATAAATCGGATTATCCTCCCAGTTTCTTTCATTTTTATTTATTTTTTTACATTAAATTTACAAATAGTTACCATTTACAACGGAAAATTAAATATATAGTAACGGTAGTTGTAAATTGTAGATTTTACTGACAAAATACAGACTTATAGAGGGAGGAAATAAATATAATTTCAGAAGTAAAACAAAAAGAGCTTCGTTTCAAAAATTTATTTTATATTATTTCAATGGTGATCATACATGTATGATTATTGACAAGAGTTTTTTTTTTTTTCTCAATTTTAAAAATTCCTTATTTTGTATATTAGACTAGTAATTGTTTTAAACGTCATTATTATGATTCAATGCATCTTTTAAAACATTTTTAAAGCAAGGATCATTTAAAAGTGGGGAATCAATTTTTTCTCATTTATAATAAAGAAGTTAAATGTAATTTAGTCGTCATAATCTTGATCAGTGCTGTTCTCGCGTGCATTTTGTCCTAGTATTCAGCCGTCTCGTTTAACATGAGGTATGTAAATGAAAGGGGGGGGTTGGGCAAAGCGCTCTAATACGAAATATCTATAAAATTTCATCAAAGAAATGTTCATGGAAAAGATATAATTTCCGAAAAAAATTTTTGTAAATGAAATAAAATTTAACAATTTTTATTTGTTTTTATTGATTTACTTATTGACTAATCTTATATTGTTTTTTTAAAGCAATTTCAGTTAAGCAAATTTTGCTGTTAATGTTTCAAATATGAATAGTTGAGGTCTCTATTATACATACAGAATTTTTTGACTCGAAAAAAAAATCATTTTATGATTCTTTAAATGGAGTTTTATCCAATTCTATATGAACATTGAACATTTCGGGCGAAAATGATATGCACCAACAAACTCATTTATTTGAAATCCACACTGACAAACGTAAACGATAAGAAGACAGGGTAGCAAAGTGCTACAGTGTAACGGCTTGCAAAATTAATTTTTTTCACGATATCTTGGCTGAGTACAAGTCATATGCCTATGTGAAGTTCATTTTTTTTTTATTAATTTAAGTGAAAAAATAAGTCTAGGCAGTATAGTTCAATACAATAAAGAAACCAAATTTGTAAATTAAAATAGAAAATTAACTGCAACATTTTACTTTTATAAACTTTCATAATTGAGAAAGGTCCAAGAGCATGCAGCAGAATATTCTCATCTTGAATGCTTCCAAGTGCACTGTTTCATGACATTTTTCATTTCTTCTATTGTCGAAGCAAGTTATCAATATCTGACGTTATGAAACAAACATTAATCTTTGAACTCCCCTGATCAAAGTTTGTGCCGCCTCAACTGCTGGAAAAACAAATCCATGCATAAATGTAGAAACAGACGTGGTTGTCAGTTCTTATTGTAGCAAAGAACTGATGTACGAATTACGTCAGGTATTTCAAAAGCCTCTTTTTCTCTATTTTGTCTGAATAAATGCCTGCTTAAGGTTATCCAATCCTCAGGCTCTGAAAATCAGGCATTGAGTTATTGAAATTGCTCACAAAGAGGTCTCTAAATTCTCAAATTAAAATGTATTTACCCACGGTGTTTCTTTAAACTTCATCTTTAAATTTAATCATATTATATAGGAAAAATTAGTAAATCTCAAATAATTTTTCAGGAAATGCGATTTGAAGTACCTACGGCATATTTTTAAATTGATAATTGATGAAGAAATACATTTTAGGAATAAAAATCATAGGTATCCAGGCTTTCAAAGAAAATTGCATGAGTTTTACACTTATTTGGTACTTTACTTTTTCCTACTTACTTCCATCGTTTCATAATGCATAAAGTATGAAGGTTTCCTTTCAAAGAAAACACCGTAAATCACTTTTAATTTTAAACCATGCTTAAAAACATTGGTAACTAAGGCTAAATTAAAAAAAAATGATTCGTTAAAATATGCAGGTTATACTTAATTTTATGAGGTACAAATGTCAACATTTTTAATACCGTTTGTTAAAACTTTAAAGAGCATTGAATCAAACGTAGAGGCATAAAATGAAAATTTTTGCATGAAAAAAATTCAATTTCAAGCTTTATTTTAAGACCTTTTGAATTAGATCATATATTAAAGAGTTATCCTTCCTTGCTGAGGATCGTATATCCTTAATGTAATTTAAAAAGAATTGTTTCCGATCATTATAAGGGGCAAACGGCAGACGTCACCTGTTGGAGAAGAGTGTGTTTACTCCTCCATGTCACCTGATTCCTCCTCTGAAGTTTTAGAGGTCTACAAGTGTATGTTTGATTTTCTCTTTAGTTGTATTGCTTGAATAATGTTCGCTATTCCAATATTCTTAATTTTAATGAATTCATTTTTCGAAAGGCTTTTGTCTCTCTTTGACACTGAATAGAATCCTGAATGACATCTTAAAATACATGTATTCGATACACAAGAGCATGTTCTACGTAGGGACAATTTCTAAAATGAGGTAAGTTATTGACAAACATGTTGATGAAACAAGAATATCAGCAGTCTCGTTTAAAGTCATCATTTTTTAAAGTTCTATGGTCGATTCAATGACCTTGTCAACAAATACAATTTTCCATTGAGTCTAATGCTGACTGACGGTGTTTGCTCTGCTCCTATTTTGTATTGTTTAATGGACTTTGAGCTTGAAAACTGTTCGCTATCTCCACATATTTCATGTACACACATCTGGTATTAAATTTGCTTCAGTTTTGATTAAAATTCACCCGTTTAAAATTTAGAGACCCAGAACTGCAAGATTGTACTTTAGCAGCCCCAGACGACACACCTCAAAAATCCTGTGTGAGCATTTTATCTACATGTACTTCTGTACCAGGTTAGTACTTGACGTTTTTAAACATCAATAAGTTTTGAAAGTTTATATAAATTATATCATAACTAATAAATTTTCTTTCCTTGAAAGATTCAACTTCTTTTCTCTTAATTTAATTTCTATCAAAACTATCCATTATTTAAAGGTGTATGTTAGAGAACTACTGGATCAAGACCAGGCGTGAAAATATATAGATGAGCAGTATTTGATCAGTGATTAGATACAAAGATTTAACCGAGACCAGATTTGAAAAGAAAAGAGGAACACGACTGGATCAGGGATTAGATAAAAAATTATTCCAGGCTATGCGTGCAAATATGGACATATTTGATCAGTGATTAGAAACAAAATTTTATCCTAGACTAGACGTGAAAAGGTATGAATGAGCACTATTGGATCAGAGATTAGATACAAAATTTTATCCTAGACCACAGGCGTGAAAAGATATGCATGAGCAGTACTAGATTGGTGATACAAAATGTCATCTTACAAAAGGCGTAATGTAATACATATTTATGACATTACATCCTGTGCGTTTTCAATCCGTATCCCGTCTTTTATCAACATTTTGCTTGATTTTTTGGCGTTTAGACTTTAAAAGTTATTTTTTTTTAAATATTGGTTGTTCCTTCATCTATTTATCTGGCTTTGTTGTCAGCCTTTATTTTGCGTAAATTTGTGATTCATAATTTTTCAAACGTTTATTTTCTGTATTCTTTTCTTTATTTTAGTTCAATTAAGTTGCATAATTTAACATATTCCTCGCATTTTTAAACTTTATTTTAAACATTTAAAGCATACATATACGTAAAATTTAGAATTAAACATACAGCAGCTGAAAGGATTGAATATTTTAAGAATAGCTAGGGCTGTGCAGAAAAATTTCGGACAATATCAATGATCAATACATTATAATATGTAAAAAAAAATATTTACTTTGTTGGTGTGTTTTGTTTCATAATTAATCAAAGAAACTTATAATGCATTATTCTAAAATTAACATGTTTTGTTTTCCAAGGAGCACATTTACAACATTGCAACTTTAAAAACATGACGTAATGAATTTCTCCAAAATGCTCTACCTTGACATTTCACTCAAGTCTAGCTGGCTGGCGTCACACACACTTTTTCTTTTAAAAAAACTGTATTTACCACTTGGCATTAGGTTGACTAATAACTGTTGTAGTGGCATTCATGTAGTAAGTTCCAGTTTTTGTTTACAAAATGAAGCAACGATTCTAATTATGAACGTATAAATTGTCTTTGTTTTGTGTCGTTTTACAGAGTTATGACTGCCCACATCTGTACATATTAATCAATTGAATCAAGTAAAGTAGTTTCATTATATATTGAAAGTTTCATGTTCAAACTATTCAAATTTATTAATTCTTGAAATGTGTCTACAAAATGCACAATTTTCAGCTATGCAAGTACAGTTATTGGAAATATCAAATTTTTCCGAATTTACCTTGGCATTTTAATGTTTACAGTAGTTATCAAAATGATATCTAGATTGTAAACAAGCTAAACACTTGACTTTCATTTTCTGCCACATAATGTCCGACATGGATAGGGACTTCTATTCTGCAATCTACATATTGAGTTTAACACGTATTGTGGAGATATATAATAAAACTGTTTACATTGTATATATAATGATAGTGGAGATCCTTTAGTTTAGAAGCATTTGTAGTCAAAATAAATCTAAACGGGAATACACGCTGGTATTCTAATATTAATCAAAATTTGTATAGATATTTTAGATAATTTACTGTAAATGAGTTCGTTATTTCATACATACAGTGTATATATTATTAATGTTTTCATTAAAAAAAAAATATTTCTACAGCAACTGAATTATAAAGTAAAACAATACCAAAACCAAAATTCGAAAAAATCAAATCATCAGAACATGATTCGAACACTTTTCTCAACAAACGTTCCGTTTAAAGAGTTCCTCGATAACCTCTACTCCACGCAGTCACATATGGCCATTTAAATAGCATACAGTTCTCCATATTTAGCATGTGTATTTGGACTTAGAATTTCTAAGACCACGGTGAAATTCTAAGTAAGTATAAACGTATTTTTTTGTAGAGTGGATCTTTGTATCAGATTTTTGCAAATGTAAAAAAAAAAAAACATCTCAAATTCTTTCTTTTGCCTTTATTATTCGTTCTCAAAAAAAAGAAAGAAATGATACGATGACCCACTCTATTTGAGAAATGTAGTTATAGCATCCAATTTTGCGTCAGTTTTTGTGAAAATTGGACGTGTTGCCATTTTGTCGTGTTTAACAGAATAGAATTTGCAATAAAATTTGTAATATCATTTTTGTTTGCAAATGAAAAAAAAGCAATACATCTGTACATAAATTAAACAAAAAGTAAAATTTGTGAAAAATGAATTTCTTGATTTTTTATCGACCATAATGTGCACATATAAATCGGATTATCCTCCCAGTTTCTTTCATTTTTATTTATTTTTTTTACATTAAATTTACAAATAGTTACCATTTACAACGGAAAATTAAATATATAGTAACGGTAGTTGTAAATTGTAGATTTTACTGACAAAATACAGACTTATAGAGGGAGGAAATACTTTGTTCAAAATCCTACCTGAAGTAGATGTACGTCACCATCCCCACCAACTTTTGATGAAAACTTGAAAAATAAAAATAAAAATTATTGGCGTTTATGTGAAACCTCATACAATGTGTGGATATTGCACTTCAGATGTCCTTATTTCATTTTCATGAAGGATAAAAGCAGCGAATATACACAATTTACAAATAAATTGATTTTGGGGGGTTGGGGGAAGGGGTAAAAATTGACAATTTCAAAGGTACTTGGGTTATTAAAATGTTATTAAAGAAAAAGTAATAAACAGATGCTCTAGAAATTTAAAACATAGAATTTAAGAATATCTCAATTATTTTTATTATGTTTTTCATATATATCCTTTGTGCCCGTCATATTTTGTAGTACTCTATAAAAATCGGAAAATTTGTTAATTTTTGGCCTTTTGAGATGCCCCCTCTGTAGAATTTTGTATTTCCTCCATTTATTGTATAATATAGAAATACTCATCAAATAATATAGTTTGAACAAAAAGTTTATGGTATTATTTGTATAATTTGCTTTAATGTACCAGGAATTTGCACTTTCCTATATAATCCCATAGTAAATGTGCCTGTATTTTGAGACGGTCCCTCAATATATTGGATGGTACATTTCCTGCAAACTTAGGATGTGCACTGAAGCTAATATAAATTATGTATGGTATAAAAATGAAAAGTTTTGCTATTGTAGTTTCCACACAATAAAACCACACTCGGCCCCCTTAAAAACATTTCCTAAACGTTCAGTTTCGTTTCAACCATTATTTTTTAGTAGTTTGAATGCGTTTAAAACTCATCATATATAAAAATTAGAACTTTAAATTAAATAGAATCGAATTAAAACTTTCTTACAAATCATTCTCAAAGTGTCAAAAGCCTGCGGAATTGGAACAAACCTGTTATATATACACTGCTGCATTCAAATTGATATTTTTTGCAGAAAAATTCAGATCGATTTCTATTTTTGTGTCAATAGATTCATTTATTTACATTTATTGTTTTGCTAATATGAACCATTTGAAAAATTGTTTTTAATATCGTTTTTTGTTTATACTTATGCATAGAATTGGTTGATTTTGTTATTAAACGTCTCTCTCGAGAAATTTGTATTCATATTGAAACGCAGACAATTTTGTCCTATTTTCAGCACTCAGGGATAATGAGCAATGGGGGATCTTTTTCGTGCCAACATCTACTGCGACACGATACCTACTACTTAGGTACCTACCGACACGGTACTTACTAGAAGGTTTATACCTTCTCATCCGAAGGACTGCATGGTCTCCACGTCCCACAGTGGGATTCGAACCCGAGACGTAATGATCAACTCCTGACTTTACAACTCTAGAGAATACTCCTTAACCACTGCTCTACGCGGGCGGATGCGTAGAATTATAATGATTATATACACAAATAATCTTACGCTAAAATGGCGTTATAATGAGGTTACATGGATGATCACGAGCATATTACCATATAGTGCAAGAAAAATATTGATTTCTATGCTTCTAAATATGTAAAAAAAAAAGTTTAGTAAGAATGATTTTGCATTTAAATTATTAGTGTGTATATATAAACTTTGCTAACACTGGTTAGTTTTTTCATGAAGCACTAGCGCGCTTCATGAAATATGCCTACGTGACAAGTTGGTGTAATTAACGCACCAATTACTCACACAAAACACAAAGATTTTCCTTTAATATTCATTTCAATTTCGGCCATCGATTTTATAAAAAATAAATTGTTAATTTTGTACAATTTTTGTTTAAATAAATAATATATAAAAGCATGAAATATTATTTTGATTATAATCGCTGTTCATTCACTGTTCTTACTGGAAGTGAGGAATATTAATTTTTGATCTGTTTGCTTATTTGTGATGGTATTCTAGGCGATAAAACACTCTTTGGTCTAAAGCAGATCTCTTCTTTTGACTTTGAGGTCAATAACCGTTGTAAACGGTGGACATAAAGTATCATATTGAATCAGATGGTTTCCAAATGATAACGTTAGATCTCGTGTGAAATTTTATATCTAATCCCTTGGCGACCCTGTTTATTTGGAGATCTAAGGTAAATATATATATATATATATACATTGAGAGAAAAAAAGGAACGCAGGGTAACACTATTTGATATTCTAAGAATATTGAAAAAGGAACGATGAATATAAACATGCTACCAGCTTGCATTATCATATTTTTTACATCTCAGAGGCCAAGTTCTTCACCTTGAGGATCATTGTGCGCTGAAGCACAGGTTTCTTGGTAGACAAAATACATACAAGGCCAATATCCTTAAAATACATGTATCACATAAGGTCGAAATTTAATCTGTTTATTCATATGCATCCCGAATGCAAAAAAAAACTACATCAGATTTCATGCCAATCTGAATAAAATCAGATCTTAGTTGCGCTCCGAAATTCTGATAGTCGCGTAACAAAGATCTGATTTTAATCAGATTGATTTCATGCTAGCTTTCTTTAAATTATGAGAATCAAAGGTAACTGCAACGTAACTTGCCTCACAGTTTAATGTTTAAGCATGTCATCTATGTATGATATTTTGTTGATACTAATTATGAGGATAACAGCATATTTTTTTACTGCTTATGGGACAATGTTCTCAAAATGACTACTGTTAAGTAGCACTGTTTAATTTCAAATTATGCTTATAAATTCATTGTACAGCTGTTTGTTGAATTTTTCGGAATTTACTCGGCGAGTTAAATTATTATTAAACAGAGCAGAAGAAAGAACATCAATATTTTTGCCTGTGTTTATTAACTTAAAAAACAAACTATTTCCATCAGAGGACCTATAATACTCCTAAAATACCACATTTGAATAGATAACGATTGTGGGATGGTGGATTGGGAAAGACATTTTTCAAAAGTCAGTTACATATAATAGGAGATATTAATTGAACGAGTGAGTAAATTACTATTAAGGCTGGCTGCTTAATGATCATAAGAATTATTATTTTTTTCTAAATTATCAAGTGAGCAAATAACAAGAGGCCAGGGGCCACAGCGCTCACCTGAGCACATCGGGCTTGAATTTACTCCCCCCCCCCTTCCAGGAGTTCATCATTTGAACAAACTAGAATCTACACTACCTGAGGATGATTCCATATAAATACCCCGAGTATCACTAATCATAGCTTTGAAGTACTTGAAAAGAAGATTTTAAAAGGTTTCCCTATATATCCGTATGTAAAACTTGGGTCGGCCATTTTGGCCACACCCTATCCCCAGGGCCGGGGATCATGATTTGAAAAAACTTGAATCTAAACTACCTGAGGATGATTCCACATGAGTTTCATCTTCCCTGGCCCAGTAGTAATTGAGAAGGAATTCAAAAATATTTCCTATACAAGATACAAGATACAAGATATTTTATTTACCAATCAAGGGCCCCGGGGGCATTTCAACATACATAAATATACAATTTAAACATTCTCTCTCTTTTTTTATGTATATAACAATATAATCATTTTTTTTAAAC